CAAAGCTAAGGGTACACATGGTTTAGCTCCTAGTGAGAGCGGTTGGCATGGCAATGTTCATGGCAGTGTAGCTCCCTAAAGTCTACCCTGGACTGGCATGATAGTGGCAATATTCGTGGCTGAGTTCCTCGTCAAAGGCATCAGAATCTGGTTCTTCCGCGGGGAGCAATTCTAGCCAATGAGGTTTTTCAAATTTGTCGCACATAAAAAAGGCATTGTGCTCTGCCTGCACCCACTGTTCAACGTCTCTCCAATCTAGGAGGGTAAACCGTTGCAGCTGCTCGCACCCGCAGAAGGCACGGTTGCCTATTTCACTGAGCTCTGTCGGGATGACAACTTCCTGCAGCACCACACAATTAAGGAAGGCTTCTTTTCCGATCTGTATGAGGCGAGGTGGAAGCCATATGCACTGCAACGCTACACAGTGGGCAAAGGTGGAAGAGAGCAGGGCTGTGATCTCTGTCCTCATGAGGTTGACTTCCACTAGACTTTTGCAATTTTCACAGGCTCTCGGCCCGATGTTGTGAAAGTCATGCGGCAAGCACAGCTGCTCAATGCCTGCTCCACAGAATGTGCCTTCAGGCAGTGCTCGTGGTTTATTCGTCCGATCCGTGTTAAAGGTGACAGTTGCAAGCGTGAGGCAACTCTCAAAGGCATATCTGCCAAGCTGCGCGCCTGGTGCCAGGACGCTGCTGTCCTCTGAGTCGCACTTGACCCCAACGCTGCCTAGGGAACAGCACTCAGCGAACACCCTTTGTCCATAGTGGACACACCCTGGTGCAGCGACCTGACGCAGCACATAGCACCCCATGAAAGTCCCTTCCGCCAGACTGACGACCGAAATTGGAAGCTTGACAATCTGTAATTGCTGGCAACTCTGCCAGGCTGCAATTCCCATATGTTGGATGCCAGTTGCCACTTCTACGTGTCGGATTGATGGTGCCGCGTAGAAAGCTCTGTCTGCAATTTCCCCTCTCGGGTTGGCCGGGACACGAACAGCTTTGGGGTAGCTCTCCTTGCCGTCATCCTGGAACTGCCAGATGGAATGCCCATCTTCCATGCAGGGACGAACAGCAATTTGGAGCTGCGGTCGGTGCAAGAGCTCAGTGCGGAATGCCTCTGGCAGGGGTCGCTGCGTTTGGAGGTTGAGCAATTCAATTCACAGCCAAAGACATCAAGCTCAGACATAGTCGGCAGAAAGCAGAGGATGTCATCTTCAAGCTCTGCTATATCCTCATAGTGGGTGAGGTTTGCTTGCATCGTAGATTCCGTGCCAGCTACCGTAACCAACTCAAGGTTAACCTCAAAGCGATCTTGGGGGGGGCGGCATTGCTATGTAGGTGCTTGGTTTGCTTGAGCCAAACAACTGTGGTACAGGAGGTGTGTCCTTTGTAACGCCATAGTGGCAACTACGCCCCAATAGAGAAGATGACTAAGGTCACCCATCTCATGGCGGAGGTTGCGCGACACTGAGGCTGTTGTGGTGTGTGGAGACTCCTGATGAGGACCACACTACTGCTACCACCCGTAGGACCACCCTGAGGGCGAAGGTGGGGGGAGGCTTGCTGTGCCAGGAAGACCCGTTGTGGAACTTCCTGCTTCAGTGCGGCGGGCTTTGTTACTTGGATCAGCGGTTTCCTGACTGTAGCCCATGTGATCCCTAAGTGCCTTCTTATGGCTCGCGAGTTGGAGTCTGAACGTGGGGTTCCCAGTGAGCCATCTGCAGAGCTCATCCCATTTCTCTTCGGAGTAGTGAGTCGTGTCATATTGGTTGTGTGGACGATCTGCCATCTTCGGAGTGAGAGGATGTCCTTTGCAGTAGTACACACTGAGGACAGGACTAGGGACCTTAGTCAAGCTGTAACGGGCAGATATCAGATTCCACCCTGTGCGGGACATGGCAATTCTGAGCCCGGAGGTCAACCATTGTGCTACCACTGTGCTTTCTGCGCCGTTGTCCCCTTGCTCGAAATTGCCTAGCGCCGTTG